GGGCGGGAGGGAGACCGCTAAAATACGGCGTAGTCTGAGAAAAGATATGCACATCGACGCGATAACGGCGAAAGGCAAAACACAAGAAAGATAGAGACAGAAACAGTTAAGGGAAAGAAAATAGGTGGGTCTTACTATTGAAGCCCTCCAAATAAAAGTTGTTCCCGCATCCGATCAGGACATTGGGGATGATTGCTTGTTAATGAGACAACTTCCTGGGCCTTCGGCATATTGTGGAAGGGTGGCCAGTTCCTTTCCATGCCGCCTTTACTTCCCCAACTCGAAGTCAGGTACCCATAACTGCTGGGTGGGCAGGAGGGGGCGAAAAAAATCCGTGTCCGAACCGAGGCTCGAACCAGGACTTTCCGCTTCGGAGACAAGCGCACTAACCGCTACGCCATCGCTCCGTCTACCCTCGAACTACTTGCTAAAATTCAGACTTGCATAGCCTATTGTTGACTTATTAGAGCATAAAAGTCAACAACAAAAAAAGAAAGAAAGAAGGAAATACCCGTCCCAAGCAAGAAAAAATGACAATGTTTTATAACGTGTGCACAATATTCAGGGGCGGGTGGATCCCAGACGGCATGAACCGGCAGCGAAGAAGAAAAAAAGGTTAGGGGTGAGGAGTGAGGGCCGCAATGTGGAACAGAATAAGGCTGCCTTTAGAACCCTTAAAATTAGCATGTCTTAAAAGCCATGAACAAAGCACAATGTACAATGGATCGCAAGAAAATGCTTCTGAAAAACAAAAGTTCGCGTTTCCGGTTTTTCAATGCAATAAAGTAAACCCAGCAACCAGCATAAAACAAGGACTTATACATAAAAATAAAAAAAAGAACAAGAACAACAAATAAGTATACAAAAGGTGCGAGATAGAGGGGTAAAAAATGAGGAGGGGGGGGGGTGCTTAGTGGTTGTCGTTTTTTTTTCTCGAAACATCATATTATCTTCTTTAAAAGCGAGCGAACTGAAAAAGGAGGCTGGTCATGAAAGTGGCTGGTGCGTGTTGATAACAACAAGGATGCTGCCACGAGCAGATAAACACACTGATAGTTATAGCCACTGAAAAAAATAATAATTAAACAAGCTTGGACACATAAACACACATAGAGCGCCATCATCATGCGGAGAAGAGGAGGGCTACACACCATTGTGTGAATGGCAATACACATGGCTTGCTGAAACAGGGCGAGCAGTCAGGGGGGAAAAATAAACACAGGTTAGCAGCGTCATTGACTCCATCATGAGAACATCCAGACAAATTTATTTGTTTGAGTAGAGAGAAGCACATCGACACAATAGCGGTCATTTAGTGCCAGAAAAGAGCAGGACAGATAGACAGAAATAAAAGCAGGGAGAGAATTTTAATGACTCAGGACCTGCTAGTGGCGTACTCGAACTACCTGCACACACAGACTAACACAGACACTTGTATACACACACACACACACACACACACACACACACACACACAAACACACACACACACACACACACACACACAAGACAGGGGAACAAGAGCTTCACACAGCACACGTCTGCAGCTTACTCACGACGCGGACAGCTACCAGATAGTTGCGAGCTTTAAATTACAAGATTAAGGGGTCAAAAGACACATACATCCTTGTTCATTTGTTCGTCTGTATAACTTATGAAAGAACACAAGGACATGATTACGGTCAGCTGATGCTCTACGTGGTGGGAAAGGGGATGGGGGAAGGGGGGGGGGGGGGCAGAAGACAGAACAAGAGAGGATTCAAGAACGTGTCAGGTTCAGAACCACTCAAAGACAAACACAAAAAGACACTCACAGACGAATATCACAAACTCGGGTGCATAATAAGCACTTCTGAACCAAGACACGCTGGTTTATCACCTAAATTTAAAGCATACACAGAAATGTCACAAACCTAGTAAACAGAATCAACAGTCCCAAGGAGGGGAAAGCTTTAAATATTCGTTTGGGTCATTTGCTGGAGTGGAGACGGGGTTAGTCCGCCGTTCATCCAAAACGAACCTTTTTTATTTTAGCCTTCTCATCAAGCAGCACTACTACTGGGTCAAGGGGCCACAAAATGGTTACAACGATTGTCTATGACATTAAAATCTAATAAATTTACAAACATATGAATCAGATTACAAAAGCAGAACATTTCGAGGAATTCAATTTCTATAGCACCCTGATTCATTCCTGAAACAGTAACAAATACCGTATCCGAAACAGAGAATTTCATGACATTGATAGCCAAGAGTAATAACCTTAGTAGAATTTGTTTTAAAGTGTCCTAGATACCTCACTCCATGAAAAAAAAAGCATTCGACATTATGTCAAGCACTATAATATTAGTAGCAATATCACTGCTGCCACAGGGATTTTTTTCGTGGGGGGGAAGGGGGTGGGGGGGCAAACTTTTGTTTCGTTTGTCCAAAGCAAAAGTCAGAGACTCGGAGGGAGAGCTTTTTCACACCACGCCCTCTCCTTGTGGAACGCTTTACCAGCTCATCTTCGGGAGTCCACTTCTTTATCAAAATTTAAATCGGCACTTAAAACGCATTTGTTTCAGTCCAGCTTCAATCTGTAATTTCCGACACTCCCAATGCAAATATTATTATGTTCTCTCAGTATCCATTATGTTCTCAGTATCGTTTATTTATGCTGTTCTGCTCTGTAAGAACTGTGTGAATTCATCAATGTGTGTGAGGGTGTCAGGGTAAGCTTTGTGGGATTGTGTTTACTCAAGGATGTACTGGAGAGAGAGAGAGAGAGAGAGAGAGAGAGAGGGAGAGAGAGAGAGAGAGAGACAGAGAGACAGAGAGAGAGAGAGAGAAAGAAAGAGAGAGACAGACAGAGACAGAGAAAGACAGAGACAGACAGACAGACAGACAGACAGACAGACAGACAGACAGACAGACAGACAGAGTGAGACAAGTGAGAGAGAGAGAGAAAGAGAATTACTACAGGAGCTGTGAGCTTAATATGTTCTTTGTATTATTGTACAGCGCATTGAGCACTTCTTTGTGGAAATGCGCTACATAAATGCAATTTATTATTATTATTATTATTATATTATTATTAATAGAGGAAAACACCACCTGCACTTACTAAATGCCACTAGGGAAGCTCATTATGTTCTGACTTGAAACATAGACCCTTATTTCAGTGTCTCACTTTATAAAACAGCAAACAAGACAAAACGAACAGTGCTGCTTCTTCAGAGGGCAGAAAAAAAATTATTGAAATAAAAAAAAGAGAATACACATCAATTTATGGAGTCACCTTTGCTCATTAAAATATTTTCTCCAAAGTGCTCTCTCTCTCTCTCTCTCTCTCTCTCTACTCTCTCTCTCCCCATCCTTTCTTCTCCATCTCTCTTCTTCTCTTTCAGTCTGTCTGTCTCTCTCCTTCTCTCTGACGCAGCAGTCCGAATCCACCACAAAAGAAGTGCGGTATTATTTTAATTATTTTACAAAGCACAACAAATAACCGAGAATCACACCGCAGAGCTTAATAATCTTTATCACCTAATTAAATGATAATGCACTACTCTCCATTTGTCTACGTGTTCAAACAGAAGACGACAACATCCCCCCCCCCCCCCCTTTTTCCCCCAGGCCATTTTTTTTCTTTTTCAAACGCGCCGCTGTCACTAAGCTAGGGCCTACAACAATGGCCACAGACTAGGAAAAGGCAAACTGATCCGATCTTGCATGAGACTAGGCCACACCACACCACACCACACAAACGGGCCCGCTTTGTTGCGTTCGCGCACGGGGTGGGGTGGGGCTGATGGTGGAGCTGTGGGTGGACAGGGTCAAATCGGGGTGAGCCCTGCTAAGGGCGTGTGTCTGGGTGCGCGTTTGCGCGTGTGTAATGATGGTCAAGAAGAACTGACTCTGGTTCAGGGGACTCACTAACTACGCGGGGTATGAAGTTCTCCATGCCATGGGCTGGTCACTGTGATCGCGCCTCTAGCTCTGATCAACGCTTCTCGCGCATTTCGATTTGGGCCTTTCTTCAGGAGGGGATATAAAGTGTGAGAGGAGAAGAAAGGTAAAGGGAAAATGCTTAAGAATAAATACAGGAGATGAGGTGGGGGACCAAAACCCCCTTCAAAAGCGGCATAGCATGGAACTCCAGGGAGGAGCGAAGATTGAATAATAACTCTTGCATTTTTTTTTTAAAAAGGTCCACAAAACCGTGGGCGAGACTGATGAGTCCCGCCAAAGGGAGGGACATACTTCAAACATCCGTCATAAAACTAGAGTATGACTGAAAGACGGGGTGCAAGAGACAGATAAGGAACGAGTGAGAGTGAGTTGATTAGGGAAAAGAACGAGAGCTCCGGGATAGGGAAACGCCCACGGTCGGAAGTAATCAGCCCCTGTTTGTAAACACGCATGTGAAAGAAAGGTAACCAAGACGGGGAAGACTGAAAACGACAATAAAAATTACCCCCC